GGCCCGTTCGCTTGGAGAAGGGGAGAGCGAAGGGACACACGACAGGTGTTCAAATTCATGCAAGGTGAGGAGAGAGTGAACAGGGCTGGCCTGTTTCTCCTTCAGAATGCTACACCCCAACGGAAGCTGACTGGTGGAATATTCAAGGCGGATCAAAGGAAGGCCTTCTTCACGCAGCTCTTGGAATTCTCTCCCATTTCAACTATGAAATCCCCTACCATGCACTATTTATTTATTTATTTATTCGATTTATATCCTGCCTTTTTCCTGCAAAGGGCTCAAGGCAACTGACATCATTCTCCTCCTCCTTCTTATCCCCACAACATCAACCCTGCGAGGTAGGGTGGGCTGAGAGTCTGTGACTGGCCCAAAGTCACCCAGTTGGCTCCATGGCCGAGCGGAGACTAGAACCCAGATCGTCTGAGTCCCAGTCCCGTGCTCTGAACCACCACACCACACCGGCTCTCACACTGGATAAACAGATGGCCACCAATTTCATGGATAGGTTAAAAGGAGCAAAATCGCGGAGGACAAGACTATCAAGGCCACTAGTCCAGATGGCTATCTGCCGCCAGTATCAGAGGCAGCAGTGTGCTTAGGTGCAACAGATGCTGGGGAACATGGAGAGGGAGAAGATACTGCGCTCACATCCTACTTTTCCCTACCGCAAGCTGTTTGACCACTGGATGGACCCTTGGTCCTATGCAGCAGGGTTCTTCTCCTTATATTAGTGGTGCTCTCAGGCACTGAGGGAAGGCCAAGAGTCACAGGAGCTGCGTTTAAACAAATAATAAACCAGCACAACCACAGTATTGGGCTAAATGATAAATACCCCGCCAAAGAGTGACCAGTCGCAAGCAAACAGTAATCTCTGTTTCCAAGTCCTGTCTTTAAGGCACAGCAGAGGTTCTGGATAAACATCACTTCCATTTAAAAGTGTATTTTGAATGAGCCGAATGTCTTCTCTTTGGTCCCAAATTTTTCCTATAGGAGTTTTCACAAACGACATTCCAATACTATTTTACTGTTTGCGGTCTTTTCTGTTGCTTCATCTCGTGTGCCCAATCTATTTCTCAGGGTCACCTTGTCAGCCCTTTCCTGCCTCCTTTGGAATTCGCTTTGCATAGTGGATGTTTGTTCCATTGTGGTTCACATTTCTTGTCTGGCTGGTTTAGGGGGATTCCAAGTATAACCTGAGAGGAAAAATCTCTCACACACAAAGACTTTATCCAAAGGGAATCGATTCTTCTTGATTCTATCGCAGCAAATGCAAACCGGTATGAAACAGAAGTTAGCTTACTTTAGCGAAGCTGCAATCGTGGTCTTTAACCGGGAACAAGTTCCTGTCACACAAAGCACCTAAATGCCAGCACTGTTTAATTCTGCCGCTTTTTCTTAAACTGACAAGGGAAAAAAATTCATTACTGTGGCCTTTCCAGCTTTAGTATATTCCTTTTTAGTCTATTCTAATAAAGGTGAACATCTCAGAAACTGTGGCCTCTCCAGCAACAGTTAAATGCCTTGGTTCATGCATGATCTCCTTTCATACCAGTGAGGAACCCATTAAACTATCCGACTGCGGTGGTCCTCAATTTGTATGCACAACCACAAGGAAAACTTTGCACTGTTTATAAAAGCTGGACCCATTGTACAAATCCAAGTGGCTGGAAGCAAAATTAAACTTATCTTTCTTGATGGTATCCGTGGCCATTTACCTCATCTGCTCATTCAAGAAATACAAAAACTAATAAGACTTTCACATCGAAAAGACTCCACTCCGTATCGTCATGTAACAGCAGCAAACAGATCGTCCCCATGTCCATACGTTTATGCAAATATGCTCTTCTGGATCATTAAGTTAGAACCTGAATTATTGCTGGAATTATTACACGCAATATTTTATCTTAAAAATAATTAAAATGTGACACGTAACTGAAGTGTGGCATTTTTATTGCACCATCTATATTAGGTGGCTGAAAGAGTTACCATTACCATTTCTAATATGTTTTTCTCAGAACTGCTGGCTCCTGAATACTGTGTAAAAAGGAAGCTGCAAAATACAATTTACATCATGTAGAATTTATAGAATCATAGAACAGTAGCGCTGGAAGAAGCCGGCGATGGAGGACTCGGAAGTATTCCTTCGGGAGGACTGTCCAGCTGCATCTTGACTGTGCTCACTGCCCGCCACCTGTCCAGGTCATTGGTTCTGTTGCCAAATTGCTCAAACAGTTAGGAAGTCAAGCCATTTTCCCACATCCTGGTATATGCTGTAAAACTTCCATACAAGAGCTATGGGATGAAGACAATTTTGGATTCGCTTCACAGGCTGCTCAGGTCTCCTCCTACAGAGACAGTGCGCCTGGTTTTGAGGAAGTGACCCACTGGAGGAAAAGAAAACTGGCCGCCATGCTGGTGACCAAGAAGCAAAGGGCTGCGTTTCCCCCCACCTTTCCAAGGGAAGATTTTGTAAGGCGACCCAAGGCACAACCTGGAAAAGAAGCTGGAGTCTTAGCTTTAGGTCAGCTGGGGCACATCAATCAGGAGAGTACCCCAGAACCACGAGTGGGGAACACAAGGCCACAGAACCACGTAAGAGAGGCCACTGCCAGGTTGCGGAAAGCAGGAAGCAGGAGAGAGCGGCACAGCACCTTGCTCCAAATGCCCACGTCTCGGAAGACCCTCGCTCCGCATGGCTCAGGAGTACATCTGGAATACCCTCCATGGACAGCCTTTGATATACTGGCCCCCTCCCTGAGCAATTCCTTACCTGCTGATGTCAGACAAGCACCAACGTATTTGAATTTTTTTCTTTAAAAAATCCATGTCTTCCCAGAATTACCAGCTAAAATTTTGTTACCATGACCTGTTTTTAAGTATTTTAATTATATACTCTGGCTACCTGTTCTTTTTACTGTTCACATTTCAGCAATCTTTTTACGATATAGATTGGAATATAAATCCTGCAAATCAGTACATAAATCACATACATGGCAGATGGTAAGGGCATTCCAGCCTTCAGTCTCTGGACGAGAGGTGGGCAGATCATGGCTCTACCAATCTTGGGGAATTCATCTCCCAAAAGCCCCCAGCTTAGCCAATAGTTCAGAATGTTGCAAGCTGAAGTCTGAAGCATTTGCAGATCTACACTCCAGCCACCCTGCTCTGGGCAACTAGACATGCCGCTGGCACAGCCCATGTGATCTAGCAATAAAGAAAACAGACAGTACACGACCTCTCTCCAGCTGCAAGTTAGGAGTTGCCAAACCCTCTAAGATCCCATCCAACAGCTCTTAATGCCAGTACAGAGCAACAAAAGGGGCCACAGTTCATCCCTTAAGGTACAACAACTACAAAAGAGCAAGCTGACAACTATGGCAATGCTCACACAACAAACAAGGCTTCAGCCTACAGCAGCCCATGTTCCCTTTTCAATCATCCTTTTCATGCCTTCATCGTTAAATAGTGCAGTAACTTTTCAGGAATCCAGCACCACTTAAAGCAAAATTAAACCACAATATTTGCCTATCATGCTGACACTCTGCTTCTGACACATGCATTCAAAAAATACTCAAAAGCTGGTCCGATTGAATTACTTGTCATCACACAGCCCTAGGAAAGAATGAAAGATTCTTTAAAGTGTTGACCCGTGTTAAACATTTGGTAATGCTTCAAGTCACCCAAATAATCAGAAGAAGATGTTTGCAAGAAGGCAACTCCAGAGTTTTATTTAAGTTGTAGCTTACTTTTCTCCCTTGCTTTGTCTACAGGCTTACATCGGCAACTATCACCATATGCTAAAAACCACTCCTCACTGGAAATGCTCTTTAAAGAAAAGGAAATTTCAAGTGATGATAACTTTCAGGAGTTCAATAATTCCCATTAACATACCTAAAAGACAGGTGTGTTGCATTAGAATCACTCTCTGCTTTTTCCTTCTAGTTCCCCTAGTTTTTCCTCTAGTTTTGTCTTTCCCTCAGTTCACCCACCAGTGAACCCAAAGATGTAAAAGAAGCTCTGGCGGCAGAGAAAACAGCTTTCTTTGCAATATGCTAAAAGCAAACGAATCCATCCTTCACACAGGAAGCAGGCTTCTTCTGCAAAATAGCAGACCATTCCCCTCTCGCCCTGGCAAGAAGACTCTTCGCCTGATAAGAACACAGAAAGTGTACTTCGGCAGTACTTCCCTGTCCGTGATACAGCCCTGTATACACCTGGATGTCAAGCTACCATATAGATCAGCCTATAAGATGACTCTTGAAACCAGAAACAGCAAAGCAAAAATTGGGAGTCAACTTACACATCCAATATATGACAAACGCCACAAGGTTGACCTCGTCTTATATACGTGTCATTTTACATGTCAATTTATACAGTATATATTCTACTCTGCAGCTTCTAAGTAGGTGCAGGGCTGTGTCACAGTTAGGCAAATGGTCTCTGCCCGTGCGGCAGCCAAGACACAACTCCAGGGCTTGCACGGGAACAAACACTACAGAAGGATTTGTTTGTGAGCGGTTGCAAGAGGGAGGAAAGAGAAAATGCTCACTGGGGAGCTTAAAATCAGAGCATTCTTAAAAAACAACACCCTCTCTGCCAAAAGCTGTAGAAGGCAATCAAGCAGCTTTGTATTGCTACTTGCAGCACAGAAATGCACTTTTCAAAAGAAATGCCAGCACTGGCTTGGGTTGTGTTTCTATAATCAGAGAGAGCTGGCGTGGTGAGTGTGCTGGGCTGGTGAAGTGGGGGATCAGGGTTCTAGCCCCCACACGGCCAGTCTCAGCCAAACCTACCTCACAGGGTTGTTGCTGTGAGAATGATGTGGGGTGGAGGACCACCACCTTGGCTTCCTTTCAAGTGGAAAAAAGCAGCGTATAAATGCGATATAACAATAGTAATTTAAAAAACGCAAACATGCACAGGATTGGGCCCCCTGTGGTTCACTAACATAATTCCAGAGACGCTAAATTAATTTCAGAGATATATTATAACTGAAATACCTCCAATTGAGCCATGCCCACCAGATCCCGATTTCTGCTGAGACCTTCCGCCAGGTGAAGACTCCTTCATACGCTCTATAACATGTTCAGACAGCTGAGGAGAGAATGAACAGAAGAAACACCAATAATGCTGCTTGATCCAGCTCCAGACACAGGGTTGCTTTGCTTTATTCTATAAAGACATATTTATTATTAAAAATACATTCCTGCATGGTTCAACATCTTGTACAATGTAATGTAACTCTCAAGTAAATCTTGTTATGTGTGAGTGATGAATAACCCATCATCTCCTCCCGGTCCAGCCCAACTGAAGTAAAACCTTCCTTGAATTCTTGCTAGCCTTTCCTCTGAAGAAGAACACTAATGAAATTTCTTAATGGGTGCTGTATGATTTTGTAGGCCTTGTTTAGAGGCCGCTATCGTTCAAATGCTTCTGTCAATACAAAAACAGTGATATCAATGGGACCTCGTTCCACCTAAGTATGATTGTGACTGGGATGCAAGCCCTGGTGAAAATCAAAGCAAACAACTGGAGTTCCACTGTGCTGAACAGTAACACAGGTATTAACAGCATATATTTGTAAATGCTAAACCCCCAGGGGCAGAAGTAATGTTAATGCACAACATTATCACACCAGCAAGAATTCCTGTCTTGTTGGTAAATTAGCATGTTCCAACAAGAGAGAGCCAGATACTATTTTCGTCTCTCTATGTTGTTTGCTACCTGTGTTCCATAAAATGCAGGGACCTCCAGCTGGGCCGTGTCGCAGGGACACGGAAGTGCATGCTCACAGGTGAAGGAACAAAGGCAGGCGGAAGAATTAAAGAATCGGTAGCAGCCGAGAGAAGCATGAGGAAATCAAAGAGACAGAAGGAACAATCTCCTCCTCAGATGCCACCCCAGTATCTCCCTGTTTCATCACTTGCCTTTTATTTTTCTTTTGAAGTGCCGCTGCTAAGAGCTTTTGCATAAGCTTCAGAAGCCACATCCATGACACTAAGAGCCCCTTGTAAGTGTCTTTGAGAAACGGGAGGGAGGTGTCAAGACGAAAGGGAACTACAAGACAGAGCAAGGCACAGCGGCAGCAACCAGTGAGAAAGCAGCAGGATGGTCATTAGATGGCGGGGCCAGGATTTTGGATACCAGACACTTAAAATTCTATGCTACTGTAACACTTACATATGTTTTACATTGGGTTTTATTTTTTGTGGGCTAATCTTTTTGGTATGTTTTAATGTTTAGTATGTTTTATGTTTGTCTGCCAGCTGAGAAGAATGGTATAACCTGGAGTCCTGCACTCAGCAAGGGATTGAAACCAACTGCCCTCTGGCCACTTCCAACTCTACTATTCTATGATTTGTATTACATATTGTACTTGTATGTGTTGTTATAAACTGCCCAGGGAAGCTTTGGCTGTTGCAGCACAGTAAATAAAGACGCACAAAAACTTTACACAGCAGCAGCCATTCACTGGTGAACAGAGAAATTTAATTTCCAGGCAGGTTAATATTAAAGCACCCACCTTCAGCCTCCAGCTTGGATTTGTTAAGGGTCTACCAGAGCCTCGCAAAAAGTCTAGCAAGGCACTGAAATAAAAGCCTGCAAATTCCAAGCCACCTGGACTCTTCAGATAAGCAAGTTATTTAACAGATGCCTGCTGATCACGACTGCTTTCAAGATGTTTTTTTTGTTTGCAACGTTTCCAGACATCAAAGATGGGGAGTCTGGGATTACAAGCACACTGTGCACCCTAAGTAAATGATCAAATGTGATCGCTATAGCGGGGTGTAACCATTAGAAGGGGCAGCTCCGAAAAGGCGCACTTTTGTGCAGGGGAGGTGACTCAAGTGACGCACAGACAAAAAGACCTTCTGTAAGTTACCAGTGGAAAACAGAAGCTGGAAACTGCTGTTCAAATGAACCGGATTGTGAGTGAAGAGCAGAGGAAGGCAGGGAACAAGACCTGGGAGCCGAGAGCTGCAGGGAAGGAGTCTGGCAGTTTGAAAGCATGAAAAACCATGATGTGCAGATGGGCAGTCTTTGCAGGTTCAGTTGGAGGGCTGGCCATCTAAGCTTCAACCACAATCAAAGTAGAGGAAAAATGCTAACTTGCACAAGTCTAAATAACCTTTTTTAGTTCCAGATGCCCACAACTTGCCGGAGTCTGGCCTAAACGGTCAAGTCTCAACAGACTTCCAGTTTAATCTCAGCCCCTGAGTGCCACCTCAAAGAAAAACTTGGAGCGTGTTTGTAAATGATATTCAAGCTTTGGCAAGGTGCCACGGGGAGAGAGTCCTATTATTGGAAGGTCTGCCAGAACTGCTATTCTATTCACAGGAGTACAACTCTACTCTCATTAGATCTTACATGTTACTTTGGCTGTAATCCTCAAATTAATCCAATGCACTGCAAGTTTACTGTTAAAGGCGTCCCACTGCACTCAATGGGGGTTTTCCCAAGTAGCTTCACCTAAAACTTCCAGATGTTTATTCAGAAATAGGTCTCACTGTGTGTAGAAGGTAAGAAGTTCCACTAGTTAGAGCTCAATGGTACGTATCTCCAAAGTAAGTGTGCATAGGACTGAAGCTTTCCAGTGTATTCAGTTGATGTTTACTCAAAAGTAAACACACTGGGGTGAAGGGTTCTTACCCCCAGGTAAGTACGCTCAGGACTGGACTGGACTGGACTGGACTGGACTGGAAGGGAATGCTGCATTATAAAAACTCAGATCCATGTGTTCCATTATTCTCCAAAAGCTAGAAAGGTTAAGTTGCACGAGTGTGTGTGTGTGTGTGTGTGTGTGTGTGGGAGGGGGCACTCTTCTATGCTTCACCACAGCCTGCACTTTATTCAATAAGACAGCAGACGAGGCCAAACACCTGATCACTGCCTCCTACACCTGCGAGCATCCTAGGGGCTTAGCAAGGGGTAATTTCCCCCTCCTGTGACAATGATGGATCAAACATTTAAAAATACTTAACTTGAGCTGCCTACCCTGTAATAAAGCAAATGGCAGAGTTTGGGGTGAAAGGGCAGTGAGCTAGAAAAAGCAGGCAGAAAGAAACAGAGCTGCTGGATGAAACATCTGTATACAAAGAACCAATCCAGAGTCGAGAGGTAGGATTAGAAACACATAATGGGATATATCCAATTCTGCAAGGCTGCTCTGGAGAACAGTACAGTCAGTGTTACAGAAGCTGCCGAGAAGTCAAGGAGAATCGACAGAATGTCCAATGTGGCTTCAGTCTGAAAACCAGATCTGAAGCCAAACGTGATGTGGATTGAGATGATCGCTGTCACTCACAACTGGTCAACGTCAACCGGCTCAAAACAGGGTGGCACGGTTGTTGGCAAGAGCTAATCCACACTGCCGTATCACGCCAATTTTATATCAGCTTCATTGGCTACCAGTTGAAGTCCAGGCACAATCTGAAGTGCTTGTTTTGACATATAAAGTCCTAAACAGCTTGAGGCGAGGGTTACCTGACTGCCCTTCTGAAAGAGCCATCCTCGAAGGAGGTGAGGAGGAAGGGAACAAAAGAGGACCCTTTGCAGTGATCAAACTCACCTCTGGAATAGCCTCCCTAGAGCTGTTCACCTGGTGAAAATGGCTTTATTCACCAGATATTGTAATAACTGACTGTTATTGTAATAATTTAAAAATCATTTTATGACTTTAACTCACCACACTTTAATTAATACTCATAGTTATTTGTTGTTGAATATAGTTGTAATAATATTTGTTATTAGATAGATAGATCAATAGATAGATATAGTTTTGACTGTTTTATCATCAGCTTATTTTTCCTTTTTATCATTTGTTTTTGTTTTCTTTTTATCATTGGTTTTTCTCATTTCTCATTTGTTTTTATTGCTGTGATTGTGAACCACTTAGAGAGTCCGATAGGTCTATTGAAGCTGGTTATAAGATCGATCGATCAATCAATTGATCAATCAATCAATCATTGCCCGTTTGATCACCAAACCCAAAAATCACATATTACAGAAGGGACAATGATGATTTAAATTTAGGGAGTGTGCTGTCTTCCTTTTGTTGTGGAAAAGAAGCCTTACAAATTCTTTGTAATGTCAGAATTTAGGTTTTTTTAAGATTTTATTACTGTCTTTATATATTTTCATTTAATCCTGTGTTATTTATTGTATGGTACTGTATTGCATTCTTTTTGCTCTTTTGCTCATTTCTTCTATAATGCACCCAGATGCATTTCTATAATGCACCCAGAGAACATATATTATTTGGCACGTTAAAAATGTCATTGCAAAATTTATGTAATTACTGGTTTAAGACTAAAGTTAAGGTTACCTTATGTCAGCTCAAGCTCCATAAACTCAGGCAATTTGCAGCTAAGACCAATGCTAGTATTAGCCACCTTAACTGCTTTTCCACAGGGTCCAGGCAGCAGTTATCAATTGACATGTTACCAAGCCACTTCAAAGGCCGAGATAGTAAGTAAGGGCAACAGGCACTCCTCCAAAACATTTCCGCTACCCTAGTTGCCTTCCAAACTTCCCAACATACCTTTCCCTGCCTAGCAACTGCCCGTGACAGCTCTTCGACCTCGAAACGTCTTCTGCAGTTCACCTCTGCTTCAGGGTTTAGGGCACGCTAGATTGTGTGATGCTTCCAAAGGAGCATTAGCTTCCACAACTGCTGCCCTGAGCAAGAAGGCAGCTGAACAAGCCAAAGCAACTGCTCCCTGTAACTGCTACCCACAAACCCTCTCTGGCATCTGAGCACAGGAGCAGTGTGTCTGTGCCCTCCTCCCACGGAACAGAGACCACGAGAACAGCCAGGGTGGGCCAGATCAACGAACTACCAAGTGCGGCTTCCTGCTTCCCAGAAGAGTCAACCCATGACCCCAGGAGAAGCCCACAAGCTAGGCGGGGAGCGAAGGGCACGTCCTTGTTCTCCAGCAGCTAATTCTCAATGGCACATTGCCCCTGACCATGGCGAATGAGAACAAACAGCCACGCTGCATCAGACAAGGTCCATCAGTGCTCTGCACCCACCGGGGCAAACCAGCTGCCCACAGGATCCCTGAAGCAGGATGAGGGCAAGCCCTGTCCGAGATGCTCAGCAGCTGGCCTGCACAGGCAAGCTGACTTTCATAACAAAGACCTGAAACTTTTTCTAATAGGACAGGATAGAAAAGCTTCAAATAGACAGAGAATAAATAGTAGAGGCAGCACGTGGCCAGCAAGGGTAGTGGCCAAGGGCAGCCGCCTCCTGCATCACATCAGCATGACAAGGGCAGAATGTATCAGCTCCTTCCAATTCCGGGGGAGGGGGGGGAAGGGCAGCTGTCACTGCATCTTTGGGTGGGGAATCGCACAGGTCAGCCGTGCCCCAATCAGGCAGCAGGCGATGCTGCAGGTTAAACATGTGCACACCAGCTGCCAGCCGCCAAGATTCATCTTGCTCCAGCCGGCCCTCGAATCATGCAGCAGGGAGTTCCACAGGTTAACCGTGGGCCAACCGGCCGGCCCCCAACGGAGCCTCAGCATTTCCGCAGGTTAACCATGCGCCCCCGCCCCGCAACTCGTGCAGGGACCCCGGTTCCCTGAGGGGGCCCTTCCCTGGCCCCTCTGCTCCCTCCCTGCAGGAGCCCCTGAGAGGCGCGGAGCAGGAGGAGCAGGCGCAGCAGGCGCCCAGCTCTGCGGGCAGAGCCCCCCCACGGCTGCTCCCGCTCCACCGCGGCCCCGACCGGACCAGCAGCCTGCCAGGGGCCGGCGGGCAGCCCCCGGTGAGGCGGGGCCGGGCCGGGCCTGGCCAAGCGGACGGGCCCCCGCCAAGAGAGCGCTCGAAGGCCCCGGCGCAGCGCAGCGCAGCGCGGCGCTCACCCGCACGCCCTTCACCACCGTGATGTTGTCATTCTCGTCCGCCTCGAAGGTGACCCTGCGCGGAGCGCTGCCGCCGCCTCCCATGGCGCCCAGACCGGTGAAGGCGACTAGGCCGCAAAGCCGCGGGACAAGGTGCCCGCCCGGCTGGCCCCGCCTCCCTCGCGCCGCCATTGGTCCGCCGCGCCCGCGGCCCGCCTCCCGCGCTGGCACGAGACGCTCCCATTGGCGCGGAAGCGGTCGCCCGTAGCAACAGTCCGCCCCGGCAAGCGACGGCGGCCGCGTGGAAAGTTTTCCGTCGCCGCCCTCCCGTGTGTCCCGAGCGGTGAAACTTCTTCGGGAAGAGGCGGAACTACGGATCCCAGGATGCACCGAGGCAAGGGGAAACCGAGCACCGCGCCTCGCGGTGACGGCTGGGAAATGCAGTTTCGTCGAGAGTCCAACGAAGAGCGAGCGGGGCAACCTCCAAAGAGTCGCCGCGCGCTTGGCCGTGGAAACCGCCCTGAACTCTGGAACACGTGCGTGTGGACGTGTGAATGCTATTACTGGCAATCGCTGCACCCGTAAGCCTCACGCAACCGGCTTACTCGGAGTAAGCCCCATTAACTCAATGGCCGTTACTTCCGAGTAGTCACAGGATGTAGCTGCAAAGATCCTCGCCAGAATCTCACGGTCCTTACCAGGCTGCCTGGGAGGTTCCCAGCAGTTGAAACCTTACTATGCAAGAGAGTACGCTGCATTATAAAGGTTTATTACTGCAGGATAAAAAAATACTCAAATTGAACCTAGCCTCAATTTAAAGATTTAAGATGCGTTTCAGATTTAAAAGAGAAACCAAAAAATTCAAATGCCTGGTAAAAGAAGAGGACAGTGTAGATGCCCAGTGGTCCTCGGCCAGGCATCCCCCTTGCTCTGGCAGGGGCTGCCGGAGAAGGGCCATCAGAGGCCAACTCAGGGTCTGGCATGTGTATGCCGGAGAAACCTGTCCCTGAGCTGTTTGGGGCTTTGGATGTGCAGCCGGACTGGATTGAATTCCAGCTCCCATCAGGAGAGGGGCAGTGGGGGCTGAGGACAACATCTGGAGGCTGACAAAATCCCCCGTCTCTCCACTATGGAGTAAACAGCACTGGGTCAATGGTGGGGTTTGCGTCATCGAAAGCACACATAAAATTGGGCCGTTCTGCTGGGGTCCCATGTGCCCTTCGCATAGGAGTAAATAGATATGAATCCTCTGGAAGGTTTCCAGTTCTGCCCAGTAGCAGACTGGAAAAATATTGGGGTGAAGGAGGTAACTATCAGCAGAGGAGATACTTGCAGGAAGGGCCCCTTGGACGATTGTGTCATACAGTAAAGGAAGCCTTTGCACAACTGGGCTGCACACCATTTTGAAACACATGCATACACACACCCCTCCCAGTTCTGAAAAGAGATCTCCAACTTTCCTGGCATCCTCTCTAAATTCATGCACAAGCTAAAAATCAGAAGCTCCGTGGTGTTGAGCACAAAGAAGTGGAAAAGCTCAGGGTCAAAGGAAGCTTGAGGGGAAGAAGCTATCAGGGTTGGGTTCTGGCAACCTTCTCCCTCAGTTGCCACCCACAGAAACCAAGTCCCAATTTAATTTGAGCCGATTTCCTCTGCTAAGAACCTTTTTGGGACCGGAAGGGTCTTCAAACACACATCAAAACAGCAATGCCACAGGTGCTTTCTTGCTTGCGTGTTGCTTTCTTGAAGACATCAATGCCTGCAAAAGTAGCTGTTGTTGTTTAGGCTCAAATTAAGTCTTGCTTCCCAAGGTGCCTCCTGAACACCATTTTCCAGAGGAGGAGGAGGAGGCGACGAAGCAAAGAAGAAAGTGCCACAGCCAAAGAGGAAGGTCACCTTCCGCCACTTGCAAGAGAACCTGCCTCATTAGGAAAGTGTTTGAAGCTCCTGGATCAATCCCCAGCATGTCCAACAAAAGCAGTTGGGCAGTAGCTGATGGGAAGTCCACTTGCTTAGGACCTGGGAGCACTGGGGCTCTCAGGGTAGGACCTCAGGGCAGACGTTCAGGCCCCCAGTCAGCAGAATGACCAGGAGGGCCTTCAAAAACAGCAGGGTTGACGCATCACCTTTTGGAGGAACTGAAATTGTGCACATTAGCATCCGAAGAGGACAACTGGTGTGAAGCCTGTAAGTTCAGAGCTGCAGGTGTCCCTACTGCTCCTGTGCCCTGGAGGAACACCTGGACAAGCTCCGGACTAGAGATAAGACACCTTCCTTGGGCCCCTTGCTCAGAGGCTCAAACTGACCACCACCACGGCCACCGGCTGCTGCAGCTGCAGCTCCTCCTCTCCACCTTCTCACCACATGCTGCTCCCATGCAAGGAGCTTGGACCAGCGCGAGAGGAGAAGAGCAAGCCGGCTGCAGTGGGGAGGAAAAGGAGCAGTGCCGGGGAGCTCCTCTGCACAGGCCCAGTTGGGGTGCAAGCCCTTATCGGGTGCTGCCAGCCGTGCCCGCCCCGAGGACCAGTGCCAGCAAAGGGCAGCCAGTGCTGGGCCAAACAGAAAAACCTCTGCCCGGCCGCAACGCCACCTTCCCAACTCCCAACGTTTCTACCATCTGAGAGAAACCATTTCTCAGCCGCTGCATTGCCTGGAGACGTGCACTGCAGCATTGTACCCTTGAAGTCTGTGGTCCCACAGCAAAATCTCTCCCCCCACCCACAGGTTGCTGCTACCTGTTTGCCTTCATACAGGTACCCGCCCTGGGGCTCTTCAGCTTTCCATTTCCGGCGAGGTTCCCTAGGCAGACAAGGGCACCTTCACACCTGGCTAGCCCAGAGGGACTGGTGGGCTTCCATCCCCTCCCTCCCCGAAGACTGAAATGGGGTGCCCCTTGTCTTGGAGCCCCAGCTGTTCCAGCCCTGTCCTTTTTCTTCCTGCCTGCTTGCTCGGGGTCTGCATCTCCTGCATGCCAGTTCGAACTAGGAGCTGCTTGACATAACCCTCCATGTCCTCCCTGGGAATACGCATGTGGCATTCAGTGGTGCTCGGTCCTGCCTAGCTACGTCTGAGCATCATCCTGGTCAAATAGCACCATAGTTCCGGTACTGCAAGAAAATCAAACCTCTCCCAGTGGAGAGCGCCCCCATCCGCCCTGGCGACTGGCACAGTTCTTGTGGAGACTGCAGGGCCCGGCTGGGCGGGAATTCCAGGGCCTCCCTGGGATGGGAGGAATCCCAGCCGCCGCAGCAGCCCATCCTCTTCATGAGAAGGGCAAAAGACACGGCCGACATCCCTGCCTCCGTGCACCTCCTGTCTTCAGTTGGATCCCGGAGTTCAGGGGGTTATATCATCCTTGCCTTCCTGTGCTGGGTTTCTCACTTTTTAAACTCTCTTCCTTCTTTAATTTCATGCCATTTAAAACCTATGGATTTTCTTCAATATATCTGGTTTTACTTTATAGTTAGAAATCCATGCCTTGGGATCATTTACTCCAGCCTCCTCCAAGCAGCACCTTCTAGAAACGTCGTACTACACCTCCGATTAACACAGTCAGCCATGAGCATGGTGGCTGAAAATGGGAGGTGTAGTCCAACATGCCTGCAGGGCGACTGCTGTTGTGAACTGCCCAGAGAGCACTGACTGTTGGGCAGTGTAGAAATTAAATTAATAATAATAATTTTGGAAGGCTGCTTCACCATCATCTCACCATCGCAACCATTTTGGCTAACGTTACCCATTAATATTTACGTAGCTTTTTAGAGGGTTTAAAGGGTTCTCCAGCCATCCATTTAATAACTGGAATGGAGGCAGCTAGCTGAAGCACTTTATATCTTTTGGCTCAGAAAATAATTAGCTTTTGACTACAGAGTTTGTCGCAAAGCGAAACTGAGTTTTCAACAGTATTTAAGAGCTGTGTCCGATGATCTGCGTTTGATTATTAGCATCAAAATGTATTGAGAATTCAGCAGCATTTGAGAAGTGACATGCAGTAATAGTTGGTATTAATAAGGCCAAATACAGGTTGGATGGATTCCACGAAGCCTTGAGTTGACAAGAGTGGAGCAGGGCTGCCAGAACAGGGCATTTCGGGGGCTTTCATTCCTGGGGTCGGCATAAGTCAGAGACCATGACAGCAAAATGTCTTTGTTATGTTCATCCCAGTCAGCCATGGAGCCAACGGGGTGCCTTTGGGCCAGTCGCAGATGTTCAACCCGCCCTACCTCAAAGGGCTGTTGTTGAGAGAAGGAAGAGAGTTATGTAAGCTGCCTTGGGTCCTTTGGAAGGGAAATTAATATAATGCATTAACACGAATAGAATAAAATAAAATAGCCACCCTTACTTCAAGGCACTTCTAATAGAACAACAGCCCTGTTGGGTAGGCCAACCTGAGAATCCGGAACTGCGCCAAGGCCATCAAGTGGCCCAGATGGATAATTCAGGATCTCCCAATTCTAGGCATAACTCCAACCATAAAAGATCTCAGTGTTGTTTAAAACAGAACTGTGTCTGAGAATCAATCAGTATTTTCTACCGACAGCGTACCCTCGTTGGCATGGAATGGTATTTTGTATTTGATAATTGGTGTGCAGTGATATTTAAAATGTCGACGTGTGCAATGCTTTGTACGCAATTGTATTTTGAGTTTGAGGCTTGATACTTAGCATTCATCCACACTTGATAGTTGGCATATGGTGTTATTTTCATTTTGACAGGCGAGATGTGAAACATCAGAGATTCTATGCCTGCCGCAACCAAGGAAAACCAACACATCCTAAGCACGCAAACTTCAAAAGCCGAGGTTAAAATTTGATGTGCCAAATTCAAAGCTGAATTTGTAATTTTGAATATTTACAGCTATTAGAAACGTGCCTTTTCACCTCTAGGCACAAGGAAGGCATACAGAAAGAAGCTTCAGCTACATCATTAGTTTGACTCATAATTAAGACATCCGATTATATATTCTTGCAGCACTCAGAGGGCAAAAAGATTCTTTTTTTCTTTAATGAAAAGAAAAAAAGTGGATTTAATCAATAGTCAAATTCTGGCTCAGCTATTAGCAACTAGACTGTATTCCTCAATTTAGAATCTCGGACCTGAATTTTGCACTAACCTTTCAACTCCAGGAACGAACTGGAAG